ATTTTTAAGTTACATTAAGAATATTTTTCATAGTAAAAAGCACTATTCTATATGTTTGGCGCCTCAGGATACTATAAATTATAGTGAAATTATGGTTATTTCAACTATATTTTTCTATCAGTGTAATTGCGATTTTTAGTTACGCGGGGTAAAATTTGTAAAAGATTAGAGTCACGAACAGTCCAAATAATTCGATTACTAATTGTGGGCCTCAAAATGGGTTTGCTGTCTTTGTTTTCTCCAGAGTACGCATGTATTGCCGCATGTATGTATACCTGTCTTAATTATTGTTGTACATTCTGTCACTGTTGCTATGACTTTTTTAATTTTTCCAATTTTTCTCCTAGCGCCGTCAAAGGTTTTCGCATGTCATTAAAAATTTAATTTAATTTATTACATCGTATGTGTTTAATTTTTGTATATCATTAATTCTGTTGAAATCTCTCTGACAATATTTACAAAATAATACGTGCTTTTATCATGGCGAATGGTCGATCAAGTGTAAAATGCTATTTGGTATAACAGCGCACGTATATAACAATAATTTTTGGTACGCGTAACCAATATAATGCGGATTAATTGAGACGCTAAAGGTTCGTCATATACTCTAGAAAATTAGTCGTCGTACGCGCCGAAGGGATATACCTACAAACCCGGACTTCTTTTTCTATCATCCTCCACCACACCCCTGCTGATCGCTTTTCTTTCTTCGGTTAAGGGTGGTGGCGTTGCCTCAACCCCGCCCTGATCCGTAAATATTGGCGACCCCGTAACAGCTCCTCGTAAAAATCACTTGATTACAACCCCTCCCTTCATCACCCAAACGTCGTTCATCAACGGAGAACTGCAAAGGAAAGTAGACGCTCGCGCCTCCTTTTATAATTATTCAACGTGCAGCGGAAAATGTTATTTTATTTGCGTGTAATTTCAATTGTGGTAAAATTACGAAAACTGGCAATTTTTAATCCCGCCTGTATCAACCTCTGCAACAATTGCCGACGGTCATGGTCAGATTTAACAATCGGACTAGTTTAGTTGTAGGCTACCACGTAGAACGATGAATATTGTATAGACGAAAGTCCCCTATTATGAGACAGGCCCCCATTATGAGATAGCGGAGTTTCTGCCAAACTAGGCGTCGTCTGTTGGTTCCACCATGAATTTATTGCCCTTGAGGTGAAATCAGTTTAGTGGAAAATTGATTGTTAAATCGTGTAACCGTTGCGAAAAAAGGACTTGTGATTGAATTTAGGCGTTGAAAACCTCTCGCATTAGAATCCTACCCTCATAATAGAGGACTCGATCGCCTCTAATAAAAGTAAAGATCAAGAGAGATCGCATTCCGACAGTTAATTCATCGTAGAACCGTAGAAGTGAATTCTCGCCGCGACGAGAAAGCAGTTTCACAATTAATTTTTAGGAATACGAAATGCACGAGAAGTTCGCGAGTTTAAATCATATTGTAGAATAGTTTAATCACAATAGTTCAAATCCCGCGAAAAGTTTAGACATCAGCCCCGCTTCTTCCTATGGATTCTACGAACAAACCGAGGATGATTAATTCTTAGGTAACGCGCGTGTGCAAACTACTCGACTACTCAAAATATAATATGCCTGAGTACCGGTCGAAGGATATGCTCGCAATACTTTTCGATACTTTTTATGAGAATTGTGCGTGTCACTATAGCTCGATAACGTATATTGCGTTACCTACGATACATATATATATATTTTTTTTTTCGGACGTAATAACGGCGCATAGCCGCTAGCCGCGCAACGCGTCACCCTCGATATTTCAATAGGCTGAAACTCGATACGATCTGATCGATAGTTCGTCCATATTGTTGCCACGGGGTGGGAACGTGCCACGTATATCGTTACGTTATGTAACCTGTTAAGTGGCTTGATGTTGTTACGGATTTTAGAGATTATCGCGTACATCGACGGATAAATCTCGCTGCATTCCGTAATTTTACGTATTGCGGCGCTTTAATTCACTATTTATTCGTATCGCCGTGATGCATTGTACAATCGCGATAACGATTATCATTTGCCTCGGCAATATTGCAAGACTTCGTATCCCATTGCTAATTACTAAATTCGCAGCGAGCGCGCTTCTCTCGCTTCTGACGTCTGACAATAAGCCGCACGTGCCCGTCTCTGTTTCAGATTCTTCTACCTGTATCACTTCTCTTTCTACGCGTATCATTATCGATTTAACGGACAGTACAGCAGTTTGGCGTTGGTCACATCTTGGCTCTTTATACAGGTGAGTGTATTTTCTGGCTTAGTCGTTTTATTAAGCGCTAGAGTGCTGGACGGATCCTTTGATTTTATCAAGTCTCTATTTAAAGTTTGAGAAATCTGTACAGCCCCGCGAGTATGAACAACGAGGAATGCGGCCGAGAATAAATTGCTTGGTGAAAGTGTGCGAACTCGAGTACTTGGTGAGGCGCAAGTATTTATGCGGTGTATTTTGGGATTAAAGTGGCGCGCCGTCGGATCGTGAAATAATCGTCTTCGCGATAAAAAAAAGAAGACTACACAGGAATAGAAAAGTTTCCCCAAGAAAAATTGCTCTTTCGCATTGAAACGGACATTGATCACGAATATTCCGTGACCTACTTGCGAATACTTTAGTCGGTACGGTCGGGCTAAGTTTAGCAAAAAAAAAAACTCGTCCGACAATTGAACTGTTAAAAAATTGTGTCATAAATACTTTTGTCTATCCTTCCGGGCACTAATACAGGGATTCTATTGTATTGTCTTACGTAGGGTATCGTTAATTAGACGGTATTTAACTTTTAAGTCGATAAACAATCACTGGTGAATGCTATATTCGCTTCTGAGCATAATCTGTTCAAACAAGCGAGTAAGCTTTGTGCATTGAGACGTAAGAGTGAATTAAAGTCTGTCAAAACAAAAAAAATAATCAAATTTTATAGTGCTGCGCTTTCCAATATAAATCACATTTGAATTGAAGCATTAAAGTGAGAATGCCGGAGATACAGATTATACATATTTATTGTCCAGTGTGGTTTCGATAAAATAAATTGTACGCCTGCAACATTAATCTTTTTCATTGTTTCTATATTGCGTTAATTAATGTTAAAAAACATGAAACTTTGCTGGATTAAAAAATTTATTTCGAACGCATATGAAAAGACACGTCGGGGTAATTGAAAAAATATGCTGTTTATATTAAAACGCTTTATATTTAATTATTCAAGAATGGGGCAACATGAATGTGATATGATTGCAGCGCGGCAGCATTTACGATAAAATGACGATGCTATGACGGGGCAGTGGTATCGTGAAACCATTAGTTTTTTTGCCTATTGATTTCAATGACGTAACTACTTGTCCCGAAGCCGCGTAGAACGTGAGTCCGGTTTGTGACCCGAGTTTGCACTTCCGCTTTTAGGAATCGCGCCGAGATAGATGAGGGAAAATGAGAGCGTAATATTTTGCATGCGATCTCGCCGGCTACCGTTGGGGGTCCTGCGATTGACAGCAACGGTAGCAGGACGAAGAACGAGCCGTGCCACGACCGTGGTCGCTTGGCTGGATAGTCTAAAGCCGCTATCGCTCAAACTTAAGTTACGTAAACGCAACCGGGACAATGCTCCTGACAGCTCGATCGATAGAAATAATTTAATGCGGCTTCTTGGTTCCCATATACAAATGCGCGTAAGGATACTTTAATGCGGGAATCTCGTTCTCTCGTCGAGAAGGGCGTGTCCCGGTTCCATCCATTAAGAACGCAGTCCGTTAACTAACCGTGAGGTATTGTCGTTTTCCCATTGGCTGTATTCCATTAGGTAATATACACTATTGCCCTTGACCTTACTCATTTGCACTGCTTTGGGATCGTTTTTATTGTACGTTGCTATTGTTTTTTTATTCCTACACTGAAAAAAATTTCTGGTTGAATATGGACGAACCAGATAATTCCTGTAGGATTTACCAGAATTCCTGTAATCCTACAGAAATTCTGGTAAATCCTACAGGAATTCTGGTAAATCCTACAGGAATTATCTGGTTCGTCCATATTCAACCAGAAATTTTTTTCAGTGTATTGTAAACAGTGTATTGCCGTGTAATAAAAATTTCTGGTTGAATATGGACGAACCAGATAATTCCTGTAGGATTTACCAGAATTCCTGTAGGATTTACCAGAATTCCTGTAATCCTACAGAAATTCTGGTAAAT